ATTATTTATTTTACTTATATATATATGCTTTTACTTTTTTATATATTTTACTCATTTATTTATCTATTTTCTTTTTATCTTTATCCTATATTTTATGTTTTTATATTCTTTTACTTGTTTTATTTATTTATTTGCATTATCATTTTATTTTTATTTAGTTGTTTGCTATGTATATATTAGTGTTATTGTATTTTTTATTTTATATATTCTATTCATTTTATATTTACTTTATTTCTTTCTTAATCTCCTTATTTTATTTGTTTTACTTTATTTATCATTTATTCATCTCTTCTAACCCATATTTTGACTTTTAAAGGGTATATTTGTAAATCCGTCAAAGGTAAGTAATTTTGGATCATTATTTTATCTTTTAATTTAAACTTATAATTTTCTTAATCAAAGACAACTGGAAATTACGTAGTACCGAAAGGACAGTTCAAGGGTGCTAATCCTTCCTTGACTGTAACCGACTCCCGAACCCGACACATCTTTGGAAAGACGCAGATCATATAAGAAATAAGGTATCCGATCAACCTATTTATTCTTAAATAAATGATCGGTGGTGACTCCAATCCATATTTTTCAAGTCGAAGCCCAATCCCGGGGCTCAACCGAAAGACGGTTGCGACAGCAGCAAAGTGGCTCAACTTATTAAACTCATACTCTTATTCATATACGGTGCGATTTCATTGCTTCAGATTCATAAACTCTTACTTCATCTGTCGGATGAATTGATCTCCGATGTATTTATGCTTGAATTCATCTTGAAACAAGGACAAAGTTACTTGATCACTAGACATTCTCAATGTAACGTTGGTCCACCAAATTCTCGATTGCTCTCAAAGCAAGGAGACTACTCCATCCAACTTCTCAACATCGGAACAATGAAGTCCCTCCAACATGATTTTCACGTCATTAAGCCAAAGGTCCGCAGCAACAAGACCTTCTTCGGCTTCACCTCTAAACTCTGGGGCTCCTAAACCCTTCAACTTCTTCGCAACGTTCATTCTCGAAGTTGAAGTAGCAGGAGGTTGGAAACGCGCCAATACAACGTCTAACATCCTGAAGAACGTATCTTGATCACTCACATGCACTCTAAAAGATATATGTTCTTCACCTTGTCTGGCCAGGGCAGGTGAATTAATACTCTCAGCGGGCCTATCGTCTCCCGCTTCACTTACTATTCTCTCATATCAAAAGTTCTCACTTATACGTTGGCATGTACAGATTATAAGACACTCTAGACTTCGGTTTATGCCGAGAATCGACTAAACCATACCTCTGATACCATTAAATGTAATATCCCCAACCCGTACCCGACCCGGATACGAGTTCGATGTGTCACATTGACTTTTCAAACTTTGACTCTCAAAGAAAATCAAGGGAAATTTCAAACTTTCATTAAAATAAAGGTTGTTAACTTACAAAAGTTTGACCAGAACAATACAAAACCGATCAGAGCATTCGTAATTAACAAATTATTTACATGCCAACACACTAAATACAACAAAACACATATTTTGCCAATTACTTCTGATATGATCTTCTAGTAGTGATGTTGTCCTTGTCACTCCTAATTCTGATTTTATGGTTTCTTGGTACCTACGTGTAAATCACTTACACGTTAAGTCACAGACTTAGTGAGGCATAAAATGAACATATAACAATAGATTCATGAACATGCACTACTATCAATCCATAATAACATTGCAATGTACATGTATTTAATAAACTATGAAATATATAATTATGATATGCATAAGTGAACTTTAACTTCTTATAATAATTTTCATTCAATTTATCTTTGGATGCCCATGTACATTATTGAGAAAAGAAGGTACGAGGAGTACACTGAGGTTATGCATGAATGTTGTCACCACAGCTCGAATAAATTCCCACTAGGGGCACTGAAAACTTGTCCCGAAGGACCACTATGTCCCGAAGGACCATTGATAATCTCTTAACTATTGGCATACTAATTATACCTACAGCTCTCATATCATATAACATGGGCTTAATTATGAATACATTTCCCATTTTCGTATCTCTTTTATTACTTCTCATATAAACACATAATTCACTTCACATGCACACATATAATCACTTTTCTTATTTCACATACCTAAATTAATTCTCTTATAATAGCATACATTCATATAATATCATGTTAAAACATGGATAATTAATGCATGAAATCACTATAACCATAATATATATATATATATATATGCATGTACATGAATATAAAATCATAAATCCAACTATAAGAGATACACTTATCACAAGTCTTGTCTCCATACAACTCTATCTAGGGTATGCACTCACCTTAGCCTTGCTTGATTCTAGCACTTTCTCTCTCTCAACCGTTTCTTATTCTTCGATTGTTTCGAAATGGGGATACGTTCAATATCTACATAATCATACATTGATACATATCAATATTCTAACTGTTATACTCTAATCTTTCATTTCTTATACTAAAGGAAAAGTATATTTTTCATTTCCATTTGAAGAGGTATCGGTACCCACTATAGGGTACCAGTACCACCCTAGCTGAGGGTATCGATACCCATACGGGTATCAATACCATATTTACATTCGATATCACCCTGGTATCGATACCTCCCTTAAGGTATCGGTACCTAAATTACATTCGATAATTTTCGTTCAAAGATGGTATTGATACCTTCCTTAAGGTATCGGTACCCTTTGAATTCCTTCCTTAACTTTACTCTTGAGGTATCAGTACCTGTTGAATGTGTAACGATACCCCCTTGCCCAGAATCACATCTTAAGCACGAAAATTACTTCATTCCAACTCAAACACTTTATGTTTGAACCTCTTTCACCCACTTAACTCAAGCACACATATATAAACAAATTTCTAATCAATTAATACATCTTTATCCTCAAATTCTCATCGTTCATATGGAATTCAAGATTCCTACCAAATTTTCTACTTGTTCTAAATTCAATTCTAAAACTTCATATCTCTTAATTGGGTTGATGACAAGTTAAATTTGATCTTGAAATCTAATTACTACTTCTCTACCAAAATTCCATTTAAGAACCTCTCATCTTTAATCCCTCCTACACCCTTCATCTTGTCATTTTAAGACAAATTAAGCTTTCCTTAAGCTTAAGTGTCATCTAATGATCAAAACGAAACTTAAATTTCAACTAATAATCATCTAATGAGAAATCTCACCTTTACTTTAAGTCTTCACGTATGAAGAAAAGAGGACAAGAAGATAATTATAGAAGCTTTTGTTTTTCTTCCCCATCATTCCACGTGGCTCAATATATACTTAACCAAATTTAATTATTTACTTGCCAAACGCCATCTTATCCTTCAATTTCATCTTCTTTGCAATTCAATCATATACCAAATTTACAATATAAGCCCATGAACTATTTAATTATTCTACTTTAGTCATCAAATTCTAAAGTTTTACAATTTAGTCACTAACCCGATAGTGAGGATGTTACACATCGTCCATCATAAGTAGAACATAAGTTTCATTTTCCTCACTAAAATCAGTAAGGATTTCACTTAATATCCCAATGAGGTTATCTATATCTTCTTATGGTCATGCTTCTGCGGTCATCAGTGCAGCAGTTGAGAAAGTAGGAACATATGTAGTTTCGATAATAATCTCAATAATTTGATTGTTGAAAAATTGATGTACGCTAACCATAACAACAACATCATCATCATCATCGAGCAGGATTGCTTCATATTTGAGCGGAGTCCCTAAAATGATGTGTCGATATCTCAAACTTGAAACAGAAGCTCCAATTTTTTTATCTTCATTTGCCCATGAGATACATCTGCTGGGAACATCATGTTCACGGGACTCTGTGACATAAACTAAACACTGTATTCAATTTCAAAAACTTGGCCATTTGGGTGGATGACTATGAAAAAATTGTTTGCCATATTTTTATAGAGATATTGGTTTTTGTTTGTTCAATGCAATTGTAAAAATAACAAGTCTTGTAAAGATTCATACGAAGTGAGATAATTTAAAATAAATATGACCCATCATTAATTACCATTCATTGCTTGTCAAGTGAAATGTCATCTCAGTAGGCATTGTTTCAGCTACTTTCCAGTGCTCAATTAATGCATCGTGTCAGTTACTTTTCAAGGTCATTTATTAAATCAATAATGCAACGATTGGCTTATTTTGTTGGTTTATTTACTACATAATTCAAGCAATTTTTCAGAAAACGAGTGAAACAGTGGTGTATTATCATCTTCAACAACGTTTCAATAATATATCAACTCAAATCAGAAAACGTGTTTTTAACTCAGGTAAAATAATGCATCATTCCAGCTATTGTTCAGTGAAATACGAACTCAAATCAGAGAACTTTTTAGTGTTGAATTATCGCTTCAAATTATAAGAATGTGTATTTCAACCATGCCAAATTATTCACTGTTTTAGCTACTTTCCAGTGCTCAATTAATGCATCGTGTCAGCTACTTTTCAGATGTTATTTATTGCAGCAATAATGACCCATTTCACCAACTTTTCAAAGCTCATTTACTTATCTTCATCAACTATTAATATGTGTGAGTTGAAAATCATTTTACTATGATATTGAAGTAAAAAAATCTAAAACACATTCAATATTTTACTTCCAAAGCTTGAGTTTTTTTTTTTTAAACATGTCAATTATTTGCGCGACTGTTTTTTACGATTATGAATCTATAACCATGTGTTTCCCAAAAAAATATTCAACTACAAGAGTTGAAGTTCAATACGAAAACAAGAGTTCTACCCGGAGGCAATAGAAGAGTATTTTCTTTATATTATAAATTTCTAATATCATGTACGAGATTTCATCTTAGTGATGATGTAGACCTTGATGGTATGATTGAGACATATTTCTATCACTCTTTGTCTAATGTAAAGTCACAAGGCCGTGTTGAAGATCTATGAAATATAGCCTATACATACAGATTCGTGAATGACAAGCAAGCCAGTGAGAAATAAAAAGTTAATAATTGATCTTCGATCACTCAAAAGATGAATATCAGATACATTTGCAGGCAGGAATGCACTGGGGACAGTATAATCCAGTCAAACCATAAAGATAGACTGAATATCCTTGAAAAATACATTCCATGTATTCATGGATTTATAAAGACAAGCAAGTCGGCCTTAACGCTTGCTCAACTGGAAGGAAGGCATAGCAACAAACAATAAGTCTTAATCAGGCAATGCAGTTCCTCGTTCAAGATTATTTTTGATTTCCAGTGTGTATTTTCCGAACGCTCGTTCAATCTTCTTGTTAAAATGCTCATTACGATCATTGATTGAATCAATATCCTTCTCTTCATGAAACTTCCTCCTCCGGCTAAACGACTTGCGCTTGTCATCCCGGTCCTTCAGTTCCTTCACCATCTTGTCAATCTTATCTTCTGAAAGCTTAGGTGCCTGTTCACCAAAAGCAATACATAGTACATATAAAAACATGGGCCATACAATACTAAATAAACAAGCAACATTTTCCTCCACTATTTACGATCATATTCATACCTTCCCATATTGGAGGCTTGAAGCTTCACGATAGAACTCTGGATCTGCTTCTTTCATTTTGTTATATTCTTCCAGGTCAATATCAATGTTCTTTGTCCGCTTTTTGTATGCATTGTACAACGTCTTCTGATTGAAGACTGTTAAGTCCCTCGTGGAAAAAAACATAGATTCAGCTCTTTGACATGGTAAGATTCTCTATTCTATGGAAGGGATAAAAGCTTTTCTTTTGCCACATATATGCAACTTTGAAATTAGAACAAACAAGGTTAGAGTTAAAAAAATGGATGGGAATGCATTGGACAAGTTTTATTGGCCTACGATATTACAAGAGGGATATACATGCATACGCAGGTGTATGACATAAAACTTGGAACAACAAAATATATTATTGCAAACCAAGAAACACAATAATGAAGGAACCAGGTTAATGGAAGAAAAAAGTAAATACGATTAGTAGCAGTTTAAATCATACCATCCCAACCAAATGGAGCAGGACCCTTTTCCCATTTCTTATATTTTGCCTCGGCTGCTTCTTGGGTATCTAACATATATGCCTTTTGCAAATCCAAACCATTAGCATCTAGAAGTTTTCCTATCTTTTTCTTCCTTTCGTCCAGCCATTTTTGCTTAGAAATTCCTCTAGATTCCGGAGGAGCTTCCATTCTTTTCTTTTCAGCCACCATTGCAGTTTGATTAGCTTTTCTTGCCTCATTCTGGAAGCAGATAGTCATAACTAAAAATCAGTGATAACTTTTAACGAAACTTGAAGTCAAGATAGATAGATGACAAAACAGATCAGGTTAGGTTTGAAAGTTCAATCAAACTAACCATCTTTAACCTCAACTCGAACAGTTTTTTCTGTCTGCCTGTAAGATTTGTAATGTCTACATCAATGTTCTCCTCGACAGGGTCGTCACCATCATCATCAGGGTTCTCTTCTGGTTCTGGAACGCTACGTTGCACATCTTGTTCTTGATAAGCAGCGGGTGAAACAGGCTGGCCACGCTCAGGTTGCAGAGTTTCTATCACAACATACAATAAAATTAAACTATTAAAGCCAAACGGTCTAATGATTTATCGAGGAAAAGGCAGGGCACACTAAACCATTAAGTTAGGAATTGCAAGAACGACATTTAAACCTGTCTCTGATTTATCCATTCTCGCCTTGGCTTCAGCAATCTTCCGAAAGCAATATTCAACACATTCATGAAACGGATTCGATGCATTGATACAATCTGGGTGCACTCCTCGCTCATCCATTTTATTTTCTCTAGGTTTATCTGAAAAATAAACTTAGGAAATTATGAAAAGTTCGGATTCCATTTAAAATAGATTCAATAAAAAAATTCAAAACAAAATCCTAATCAAGTACTAAAACTCATCCTTACAGCAAGAAAATACACATGGTTTCCATTGATGAAAAGCTTGCAATCGTTGATTGCAAAAATTAAGAAGCAACTGAAATCGATACAAAAAATTATCTTCGAAAACCGTCAAATTTGACCCTTCATTCGGTTATATAATTGTACTAATTCGAATCACATGGAACTTTCATCCAGCGTGATTTCTTAGAATTCGACTTAACTGAACCCCAATAAACCCCAGAAAACGTGAAGCAGGAAACTATCGAAAACAGAAAAAGAAAGATTTAGAAGAGCGACAGACGAACCTGATTAAGAAATTCCTGAAATCGATTTTTACTACTTTTTCCCCTTTGGCTAGGGTTTTGTTGGGCTCAATGCTTTTGAAAATTTGTAAATTGATATTTACTCAGAAATTATGATGGAATTGATTTTAGGATAATTATTATTCAATTAAACTATGGATTATAGAGTCCTCAACTCCCCAAGCCTCGTAGAAATATTTATTTGTTAAACTAGTTAGATAGTCACCTAACTATATGTAAATTTTAATTTGGGTCAACCCAAGTTTAAACTATTGCACATTAATCACTCGAGTTATCAAAAATCGTAAAATAATCCCTGATTGCGAATGGCGGAGTGATGCTAATATAGTTAATAGAAACATTGAGGACTAAAATGCTCTAAAAATGAATAAGGATCATTTAGACAAATATTGAAGGCTACTTCTATCATTTTGCTTCTAGAATGGGGGTACCAAAGGGTCTACAGGCAGAGTTGGGTGATGGAATGGGGTCCAAATGAGCAGTGGCTGTTTTAACATCAATTCCAAACCTCATTCCCCCAAGGCAATGCCCACTCACATTGCACACACAGTCTCACATGTTCGATATGCAGACTCCGTCACTTCATTCGCATTGTGCTGCCCTCTACTATATCTAAACTCTACAAACAAGTAATTTGAATCAGTCTCTATAACAGTGACTAATTTGAATAATTCTGTATAATTGGGGACTAAATCGATACAATCCTTATAACAGATAGACCAAGTAATAAACTCATTGTTTTATGTTAGGGTGACCAATTTATAAAATTTTAGGAGAAGAAAATATATTATCAATTGAAACTACAAAAAAATCTAAAATATATGAGAATTTAAAATTTTCTGGTGAAACAACAGCCTCAAACCATCCCTTTAATCCATCAATGGACCTGGTTGGTGCCATGGCTGGAATGAAAGTTACCATGTGGGTTTGTTCGCTTCGTCAAAAGTATAAACTGAAACCCTTTACCCTGCCTCTATTCATCGGAGCCAATGTTCAACTATATGGAGGGCAATTTCAACTTCCTGGAATGTTCTCCGGGATAGCATTGCTTGGTCAATTGGAAATGACAGCATTGCTCATCCTCTTGATGATGTATGGATCCCTCACCTCGGTCCCTTGCGACGACATTTGAGGAATTCTAACGATGTCAACCGCTCGATTTTGTTTGCTGATCTTGTTGATCAAACTGGAAAATTGGATATGTCCAAGCTTACCACTATCATGAACTCCGAAGTGATCCCTCATATCATCAGCACTAAAAGCCATGATGGTTCCGATGTGGATGATAGCCTTTTCTGGCGAGAAAGCAGCGAGCACTCTTTTGAAATTAAATTGGCCTATGCTCGCTTAACCGAGCCAACTGGGAGGACAAACTCCAAATCTGGAAGCACATCTGGTCTCTTAACATTCCTCAACGTTTGCGCCTATTCCTATAGCTCTGTTATAAACAGAAATTAACGACTAACCATGAGATATTTCGACGCTCCATTGGTCATCACCCCTACTGCCCGATCTGCCCACCACCAGGAGACGACTTCTCATGTGTTACGTGATTGCAGTTCAGCCTGTGCTGTTTAGTCCCTTATTCTCCCTCAGTCTGTAGCTGATTATTTCTTCCACTTGAACCTGGAGGGTTGGCTTTCGGTTAACCTCCTCTCTTGTGCCACAGTCACACAATGGAATCTAAACTGGCCTACACTCTTTGCCCCAACCCTATGGCAAATTTGGAAGAACCGCAATGATGAGGTTTTCTCTAATATCTCTCATCTGATCAATGTTGTTTGCAACAGAAGCATTACATGGGCTCGTTACCATGCTGAGAGAAATAAACCACCTGCCCCTGCAAAAGTTTCCGATTCTATTCATACACACTGGAACAGACCGAAACAAGGTCGGCTATGTTTAAACGTTGATGGTGCAGTCTCCACTCAAACAGGAGTGGGAACGACTGGAGGAGTCTTCCGCGATTGTGAGGGATCCTGGCTGCTTGGTTTCAGCAAGACAATCGGCATGGCGCAGCTCCTTCAAACTGAGCTTTGGGCGATCTATATCGGTCTTCAGGTTGCTTGGGAGCAGGGTTTTGAGCTCCTATTGATTCAAACCGACTCCCTTCAGGCAGTTCATCTCCTTGAAGCCAAGAATGCATTGTCTAGCTCTCTCTTTCTTGTTCGAGCTATTGACAAGCTCCGTAGGAAAGCTTGGATCACAAACATTCAATGGACCCCTCGTCGGAATAATGCCCCCGCTGATGCCTTAGCTAAGCTGGCTGTTTCCAGCGACCATAGCACTACCATCTACAGAGAACCTCCCACTGCTCTTTTACGTTTACTTGATATTGACAAGATCAACTTACTTTTGACGTAAGGTTACCTTTATGTTATCATCCTTTCAATTCAAACAAAAAAAGTTACATACTCATTTGCTAATTTCAGATCAAATTATGGTTTTGGTCGCTTCATTGTACTTGAATTTAGGGTTTAATCCGTATACTTTAATTTCATATAATTTGTTCCTTTCATTTTTATAGCATCGTTACCATTAACTATTCCAGTTAGAAATACATATCAATTAAAGAAAAATATCCACGTTGTTATCGAGATAACCAACGGTGATCAAAATATGTCATATTATAGTATAGGAATTAAATTTCAAATTTAAATATAAAATAGGGACTAAAATCATAATTGTACCTTATTCTAAGATCGACTTTTTACAAGCTGAATTTCAAACGTTATGGCCGGGAAATAAAATCGGGAAAAAAAGAAGAGAGAAAAGGAGTTTATACCTAGAACGTCGCCGACGGTGAAATTGTATTTCTCCGACCAGGAAGCATAGTCAACCTCCGAATTCCATCCGTTTTCATCTCCAACATTGTAAACTTCGGATACGACGCCGTTTTCATCTTGTCTTCCATGGCTTGAAAGCAACGAAAATGATGAAAAGTTCAATGTAGCCCTTAGATTTTATCGTCAATTGTTACCATTTAGGGTGAGTTTGGTTCACGGAATGTAAGATTATCAGTGGGAATGTAAGATTACCAGGGAATAGAATTATTGATAATGTTGTATTTTGTGTTTGGTTGGCTTAGCAGGAATGTAAGATTACTATGTTTGGTTAAAGGAATAAAAGATTATTGGAATGTATATTTGACCAAATTGTCCTTATTATATATTTATTTTTTTAACAAGTTGGAAAATATTTATATAATTTATTTAAAAAAATTAAATTCATAAAATTTATATAATTTTTTACAAAATTAAAAATATAAAAAGGTTTTTTTGGATAAATCAGATTTTATATCCAAAGAGCAAAGATTGCTTCAAAATTACAATCAGAGTTCCAAAACAATTACAAAAACTTACAAAAGAATCAATGTTCTTCAATACCCCATTGATTACATAAAGTAATATTATCAGGATCAATTCTATTGATATTTTTACCCCTTAGAATCAGGCTGACAGTGTTTTTAATGGCTTGGATAATATCTTCAGCAGACCAAGCTCTTTGTTGGAACACCATTTTGTTCCTCTCTTCCCATATCAAGTAAACGGTGGCGTTGAATGCTATCTTCATGATCATTGTGAGCAACGACTTTCCTTTCCAAGTGGAGTTTGCCCAAACCGTGAAAACATCCCAAGAACAATCAGGGAAAATTAAACCAGAGAATGAGAACACTACTTTCCAGATAAAGACAACATTATGGCATTTAAGGAAAAGATGCTCCCTAGTTTCCGGAGCAGAGTTGCAGAAAATACAGTGGCTTTCATTGATGAGCCCTATTTGTTGAAGACGGACCTTCGTTGGGAGCTTATCAAGGAAAGCCATCCATGTTATCAGGCTGTGTTTACAAAAGTGCAGGGGGAACCAAAGAAGTTTCTGCCAGTAAACCTTTGCCTTCTTCTCCCGAAGAGAATCCCAGATTTTATCAGCTTTGTTTGCAATAGGGGTAAGAATTTGTTGAGCCTCAGGTCTGAGTTTAAGGAGTTTTTTTAGGCTCCAACTTGCTGTGGAATTGATGTCGACAGACCAGAAGTCCTTATCCTTGAAGATGTAGTGATATAGCCAGGCAACTCAAAGGGATCCTCCCCAGCTAGAATGAGTTTAATAAGAGAGATCATGCATGATTTGTTCCATGATTTCATATCCTTAATCTCGAGCCCTCCTTCAGATTTCAAGAAGCATATATTTTTCCAGCTTACTCTTGCTCCAGAAGCAGCAGTGTCAGACCCTTTCCAGAAAAATCGAGAGCAAAGTTGCTCTATACGCTTTAAGATCGAACTTGGCAGAAATATTTGTTTGCACCAGAAATTAGAAATACTACACAACACAGTCTTAATTAGCTCGAGTCTTCCAGTATAGCTAAGGTTCTTTGTGGACCAGTGGTGCAATTTTGATTTAATGTTATCAATTAGGACCACACGGTCCTTTTCAGAGATTTTCTTTGTGAGGAGTGGAATTCCTAAGTATCTCACTGGCAGAGTTCCTAGTTTGAAACCAGTGTTGTGTTTTATGTTCTCAAGCACACCAGTAGATATTCCAGCAGAAAAGAATTCACTTTTGGATGCATTAAGTTTGAGGCCTGAGATGTCATAGAAGTAATCAAGGACAGCAGTGACACCAGCAACTGATTCTTCATTCCCTTTGCAAAAGATGAGAAGATCATCTGCAAAGGTTAAATGAGTCAGACCTATTCTTTTGCATTTTGGATGATACCCGAACACTCCTCTTAAATTAGCCAAGTTTAGAAGTCGTGAAAGGATGTTCATTGCAATAACAAAGAGTAAAAGAGAGAGGGGGGTCTCCTTGTCTTAGGCCCTTGGCTCCTTTAAAGTAACCAGTCAATGTACCATTTAAGGAGATAGAAAAAGTTGTTGTTGAGAAGCAAGTGGAAATCCAATTGATGAAAATCCTAGGAAGACTGATAGCCTTCAAGATTATAGAAATGAAATTCCAATTAAGCGAATCAAATGCTTTGTGGGGGTCTACTTTCAAAGAGCATCTAGGGGATGAGTTTTTTCTTTTGTAGCCTCTTACAAGTTCTTGAGCAAGAAGAGTGTTTTTAATGATGCTCCTACCTTTGATAAAAGCGGTTTGGTTAAGAGAAAACAAATAAGGCATTATAGAGTTAAGACGACTGACAATGATCTTAGAGGTGGCTTTGTACACCACTGAGCAACATGAAATTGGCCTAAAGTCCTTAACCTTACTTGGGTTAGGGATTTTGGGGACCAATGCAATGATAGTAGAGTTGAAGGTTGGGAGAAGATATGATTTTTTGAAGAAGTAGGAAATGGCAGCAACAATATCTCTCTCAATAATGGACCACGTGTGTTTGAAAAAGAAAGGATAATACTCATCTGGCCCGGGAGCTTTTTCGTTACCTTGACTAAAAAACCAGCTTTGATTTCCTCTTTTGTTACATCCTTCTCAAGTTCAGTCGCCTTGTCAGTAGGCAAGGAGAACTGAATTAGATCCTGCAGCAGGTTAGGGTGAATATTTTTTATAGCAGGATCAGCAGTGCCAATCAAATTGGAAAAGAATTTTATCACCTCGGCTGACATTTGTTCAAAATATTCCAGTCTGTTTCCATTCTCATCGATGAGGGCACGAATTGTATCTTTTTTGTTTTTAAGAGCAACTGTAGAATAAAAAAGTCTTATACATTTGTCACCCTCCTTCAACCATTGGACTTTTGATTTTTGTCTGAAGAACAAAGCTTCAGCTTCCTGTAGATTTTTCAGCTCATTTTGAAGGTACAACTCATTGTCTATGACATCCTCTCCCTTTAATGTTTTGAGTTGTTGCTGCTCTAATTCTGTTCTCTTTCTTTTTACCCTTGTAGGAAGATCACTGTAGAAAGTGTGATTGAGGGTTTTGAGGCTGGATTTAAGTCTTTTAAGTTTAGAAAAAAGAATCTGCATTGGATTACCATGGGCAAATTTTGACCAAGACTGATGCACAACTTCCATGAAGCTGGGATGTTGAGTCCAGTAATTGAATAATTTAAACGGTTTTGGCCGATCAACTTGGGCTACTTTAGTGAGCCAGACTTGAGCAAGACAATGGTCCGAGATTCCAGGGGCTTGAAATTCTACATGAGAATCCTTGAATGAGATCACCTATTTAGGGTTGACAAGTACTCCATCAAGCTTTCTTGCAAGGAATGAATTTTGTTGCTTGTTACTCCAAGTGAAAGCAGGGCCAAAGTAAGGGTGGTCAAAAAGGTCAAGGTCAGAGAGGACTTCTTGGAAGTCCCTCATATCAGAGGAAGAAAGAGGGCCAATTAAATTGTAGCCGGAGATTTCAATTGAGTGCAAGATAATGTTGAAATCTCCACCAATGAGCCATGGGGAGAGGCCAACAGTAGTTTGAAGATTTCTTAATTGTTCCCAGATGAGTCTTCTAGTAATACCGTCGTTGCTTCCATAAGCTGATGTGATGACTATTTGGGTATTTTAAATTTTCCCTCGGACAATGATACTCTGATAAGAAGAATTAATTAACGAGAAATCCATGCCTTTTCTCCAAATGATCCATATCCTACCATTTACTGCTTGGACATAATTAGTTACTGCATTCCAGTCAGAAAACTTCTTCCCTAAGATAATAACAGACTTTTCTTCTTTCACTCTTGTCTCCAATAAACAGAACACATCTATTTTGTTTTGGTTAGCTCTTCTAATTATTCTTTCTTGCTTATGAGGACAGTTAAGTCCTCTAACATTCCAGAAGGCTAGAATCATTGTGGTGGGGTTACTGGTTTGTCACCACCTCCACTACCTTCAGCACATTTTGACTTTTCTTGTTTTTCTTTCTTTTTCGACTTGAGCTCCTTAACTAATGCAACAACTCCTTTCGAAGCTGCTCGGGGTTTCTTTTGGATTTCCACAAATGCAGCAGGAAAATCCTCAGAATCATTGAGTATCTGGAATCTGTTTGTAGAGGCTGAAATATCAGTTTTTAGTTTTTCTTTGGGAGACCTACCTCGCCCTTTTGTTGGAATGATAGAGGAAGCTTCACATATTATCTTGGATGTTTCCACATTAGAGTCTATGTTGTCTTGGGGAATCTTAAACTGCTCTGTATTTTCCTTATTTTGATCGTTAGCAATGGCTTGAGAACCATTTACAGCTGAGACAGAGTGATCTTGTTGGTCATCGTATTGTTCTTTTCTTCCTTTAAGATGTTCCACAACAGTTGAAGTTACTTCTTTGGATTTATCCGATGAGAGTGATGGGTTCTCTTGAAGCGTTTCAATACCCCCAACAGTAGGGTCAGAGTCAGCACACGAGGATTTCTCCTTTTTCCTCCAATATTGAGTTTTAGTAGCATCATGATTTTTCGACTGCGTACATCCCTTGTCATTATGACCAAAAATTTTGCAGAAATTGCACCGAGCTGGCATCCATGGAACTTTAACCATTATTGGAACCTTTACTCCATCCTTTAACTCCACTTTAACTTGTTCAGGGATGGTATCTTTTGCTCTTATTTCTATACAGAGTTTGGTGTATTCAAGGCATGTTTTAGAAGCAGTAACTGTATCCATAGAAAGAGGAATTCCGATAGCACTACCTATGTAACTGAGTCCTAATCTAGAGAATAGCTCAAGGGGAACATTGTAGAGATGAACCCATATAGGTAAGCTTGAAAGATCAAAACTCAAATTTTGAAGGCTAGGTTCCCATTTTCTTAAGATTATCGCGAGCGTTAGCAGTAGAGAACGAGAAAACATAAAGATTATTGCCAGCAATACTCACCTGAACTTTCGCGCTTGCCGTCATTTTTCTCCAGAAGCTGTCCACGATTCTTTGCATTGAGGAGAAGCTCGGGGCAGGACCAAGGAATTGGCCCACAAGAGAAAGATTTCACTCCATGATTCTAGTGTCAAGCACCTCATTTGAGGGATGAACTATTGGGACACCGTTGCAAACCCTAGTTGGGTAAAACTCAAGCTTTTGGCCTTCTGTACATCCGAATAACTTTCGCCAATCCATGGAGTCACGCGAAAACAGAGAGGGAAACTTCAAAGCGGAACGAAAGAATACTGAGCGAAGAGAGAACAATGAAAGAGACGTTGGAGGCACGACGGAGAGCCCTGATTCGTTAGCCCGACTAACATGCGCCCAGAGAAAACTAAAATTTTATTTTAACCTCTGAACTTCATATAAAATTTTAATTATAGATTTTTTTTGTAAATCTAAAATAGTTTAAGGATAAATTTGTAATTTAACCTTCGTAGAATTTTTATTATTCAATGACAGAAGAATGATATTTTTGAAAAAAAAACTAAGGGAATTTTAGTCCAAAACGTCGGTAATCCAACAATACCTAAGGAAATGGAGGTAATGACATTCCCAGTAATATACCCCAAAAAATCCACTATTGGTAATCTTACATTACCGGGAATGAGATTCCCAGGCTAATCAAACGGGGGAATATGGATTCCATTCCCATGGGAATCCCACATTCCCCCATCCAAACGCCCCCTTAAGGTAAATTCTGTTTATTGTCACTAAACTTTAGCCATATTATTTCATCATTAAATTAAAAAAAAATCAATTTCATCACTTAACATTAGAAATTTGCTCTTTTTGGTCACCCGACCGTTGAGTCTTCTAACTTCGTTTTTTTTTTTGGGTAAATTGATGAAGACCTCCCAAAAACTTTCCTATTAAATCCAGATTTTTTTACTTCTTTTCGTTCACCAATGCTGAAATATTTTCTTCCGAATTTGAATGACGGAGTGGTCTAGAAGAAAAAAAGTAATACGTTAGTTCACACTGATTAAACGATAGAGATTACATATCAAATCAATAAAAGATTGAAACATTGACTTAAGCTTTTTTGATTTCAAGAAAAATCAATTAAGAAGAAAAATGAAATAATCAAATAAATTATGAAATTTAGCGACAAAATCATAAAGCATTAAAGTTACATGACTAAACCAATAACATAGTACAAGTTAAGTGATTAAATGCATAGTTTACGCTATAACTCATAGACGAAATAATAAAATAGATATTAAACAACGTTATCGGTCCAGCACTTTGGAAATTTTTAGATTTAGTCCCTACACTTGAAACTAAAAATTATTTATAATCTTTACTATTTCAACATCCTAACCAATCATTAACATTGCAATATTTTCTATCAAAATTTATTAATTTGGCATCCTGATTAGGTTGCTATCTTATGAGGTGGCATAGTTTTGACAACATATCAAGTTGACAGATATTGATGAAAAATACTAATTATATTAAAGACTGGATATTGACTTTTAAATCAAAAGAGTAAAAGAATTTATTTTGTTAAAATATGTTTCAAGTTCTTATACTCTTCATACATTTATAATTTAGTCATTTTACTTTTATTTTTTTTAATTCTAGTATTTCTATTATTCAAATTTAAAAGTCCAAGTTCAATTGTTAATGTTTTATTAAAATTCTCTTGTTAAATTTAGATCCTCAAAAAATTAAATCCTCAAAAAATTAACAGAAAAATTTTAACGGTGTTTAAGATTCTACTCGAATCTTCGAATTTAAAAAGTTGAGGGATTAAATTTTAAATGTACGAAAAGTACAAAGATTTAGATCATATTTTACTGGTTTCAGTTTTAATTATTTCGAATAAAAGGATTAAATCTCAAGTTTATCAAAATATAGGGACTAGGCAAATTTGACCTAAAACCAATGGAAGATCTAGAAATTTAGAAATAGGGTCCAAAATTTTTAATATTCTTTTTTTTAATATAATGGGTATGCAAAATTTTTATATTTTTCTTTTTCCTTTAATATATTGAACTAAGTTTAATATTTAGGATAAACTACACCATATACCATCAAACTTTAGGTGATATAACGTTTACATCACTGAACTTTTAATTTTACAAATCATAATATTGAACTTTGATTTTTTAAATAAAATATTAATTTAATCTTTAAATCTGGTTAAAATTTCTCACCACTGGCCGCTACTCATCACTATCATTAGTTATTGTTGGTTACCATCATTGATCATTATCGATCACCATGATCGATAATCATTAGACCTCAAAATTTCCAATTATAATTATTTAATTTATATAAATTTTGAATAATAATATACCTCGGTTTGAAGTAAAGATAGGATGGCATTGTTGATAGATTATTTTAAAAACAAGTGCAACTCCAATGTGTACGATAGTAAAGCAATGTACTCAATGGACATAGTAGCCATCGTGAAAAGAAAAGCAAAAGAATTCTACTTGAGCATTCAAAAGTAAAATGTCTAACTCCATGAAACAATCATACGGCCGATAAATAGCCTTTTCGCGTCCTTAGAACTCGTCATCGTCTTCCTCTGCAATGTGCTTCGCAAGCTCTTGCTCCTGTTGTTGTCTCTCTCTCCTCTTCTCTGCACTTTCTTTCTCCTTGTGTGAGTTTGGTGGGAACCTAAGCGCACGCACCGCCTCGTTATGCATATTGAGGCAGAAAGCAATCCTAGAGTTGAATGCCGTTTGAGGCTCAGTCGTGGAGTAGATGTCTCCCGTCTCCTTAGACAACATACATTGATTTGAATGATCCAATGTGGCATCGATAGCTCCATCTCTGATTGCCTTAGCTACTATGCACTCGGCATCAGCAACAGAGTCCAATGTAAGCTTCTTGGCAACATCGGCCAGTGAGATGCGAGAATATGAGATGCTTATGTTGCGTAACCCAGTCCGAATGACATTGTGCCGCAATCTAACAATCAAGTTATTGGTCCGGTCTGAACTGAATGTACTTAAGAACTTCTCAGCAACAGATCTGAAAAGTTCCAAATCCCCAATGCGGACAGCCTGAAAATACAAACATTTTGTGTTTTCAAAACTGTTAGTAAAAATTCGAAACCACTGAAATCAAAGAGGCAGTTCAAATGATTATAACTCCTTTTTTTTTGTGCTAAACTTTAATTTAAATAACATGACACATACACAAACATGATTCTCCCCTTCTTTCTAGGAAAGACATGCTCGAAATATTAGACTTGGTTCCCTACGAAGTAATTGCGACGAAATCTTAACTTACATTTGTCAATTCAAAGTAGGGCCTCAATGCCTTCTCCATTCCTTTCTGCATGAAAACAGTCCTCTCGGGGATTTCTCCTAGTAGTAATCGGACAATGATTGCCCATTTGTTGCATTGAACCCGGAAACCAAGGGCTGCGACAGGGGCTTTCCTAGCAGCTTGGAGGAGACACTCTTTGGCATCTGTGTACTCCAATTGGATTGTCCTAATCTTCCCCAAGTAAAATAGGTACCGGCAAAACTGCAGAGGGTAAACTTCGCCTTAGGGTAAGAAAGCAAACGATAATGTTTTTACAGATATAACCATAATCATAAGCCAAGCCAAACATACAGAAACCCGTTAAATAACCATAAACATACAGTTCCGTTGCCTGAAATGAAGTGAGCATATTCTGGGCTCATGGGATCTGATGTTCAAAGACTAAAAGATAGCAAAACTAGTGACTTGCCTGTTGGTTTGAGTGAGCTTCAAATCTAGGTGCCTTTGATCTCAGTTTCTCAGCTTGGTCATACAAATTGTAATGGAGGTAATTGCGAAGTAGCAGGTTAAGAAGCGTTTCCTACATGACAGCAATATTTAAATATAAGACCCTAATACCAGAAATATAATTGCTCGGATAGTTGAAAATTTACCTGACCCAACTCATCATGGCGCAATGTTGCAATACGGTGCAAAGCTAGAAGGTTACTGTCAATTAAAGATCATGCTAATTAGACCTAGAATATCAGACTGTAGTTCTGATCATGTAATGCTAGAAACATAACATTCTGAGAATATATACTTAAGCCAACATATAATAAAATCAAATTTTACTGTGGTATGCCATACCTCCTAACTTCAGCAAGATTACCCGTGAGTTCATAGCAAAGAGAGTAGTAAAAGTACAGCCTAGCAGCTAGGACATCGAGAGTCCTCCTATTCAAATTCTTCAGCCGAGCAATGCTTGCAGAGGAGCATGCCTTTGCCTGAAAAGAGATAACATTATGTACAATGGGGGAAACTTCCTGATGAAGTTATTAGCTAATGTACCTCATCGTATTTCTTTTGATCAATCAGAAATATCAGGACAAGCAAGTAGCAGTAGATTTCTAGCTCTGGCAGCGAGTGCTTAGCAGGAGGTTGAGCCGCAGTGGTTGCCGTGTCAACTTCCATCTCATGCTCATCTTCCTGAAAGAAATTCAACAGTTAAGTTCTTAAAAGAACAACCGATGCAAGACATAATACATGACGATCATTTTGTTGTACTTGTACACAAAAATATTTCTAAAGTGAACTTGGAACTACGACGCATTACATGGAACTTGGAACTAGAATACCTACTAAAACGGTGAAGGTCACAACCCGGAAAACCATCATATTTCACAATAGAGGATGATGAGGTTCAATACAGGGCCAACCACAAAAAATTAACTTCAATGATACAACCATTTATTTTCTTTCTTTAGAATGTGTTCCAATGCTTTTCATTAAGACTTCAGTTCTAACCTATCCAAGCGCTTTACCACAGGCACCAAACATGAGACGGGTTAAAAAAAGAAGCAATCCACCAGGATTGAAAACTGCAACCAGCCATCAAAAGATTACCTTAGGAAGATAAGAAGAAAGCCTAGTAAGGGCCTCGGATCCAGGGGCAAGAGCGAAACTGAGGAATGAGGACAGCACAGACGCCTTCAGCTTCCTTCTTAAAGCCATAGTAAGTCTTATAGCCCGTAAAACACGGCGAGCTTCACGGTCATATGCACCGATCTCTATCAGAGACGCAATTTCCTTCAAATCTAACAGAAACCCAGAAAATTTTTATTCAAATCCGAAAAAATCCACAAGTTCCCAATTCAGAAAACATTTGAAAAAATAAATAAAAAATTCTATAACCAAGCGTCAAACATAGATTGGTAGAACTTACGGTGCAGAGTTGAAGGAGAAGAGGAAGTAAAGGAATTGGAAGGAGCTGGTTGCTCTTTCATCTCCACATCTTGAGTCATTTTTTAAGAATCTGAAACAATTGCAAAACGAAATGAAACATAAAAAAATTAAGGGGGGAAAAGGTGCAATTTCAATTATAGCGATGCTTAAAAATTAAAACTAAAAGAGAAAAAAAATAGCCTTTGATTGGTGGAAGCAAGTGCTGGATTTGGGGGAAACGAGAACCGAGCCTGTAGAGGATCAAGGTTTTCACTTTATTCAGCTGAGGACAGAGAGGAGTCGAAGAAAGCAAAACATATCGTATTATGGAAGAAATCGATCGTCTTTCTTATAGGAAATGGTCATCGGAGCCCAATTAAACTTTATTGGCCCAACACCCATTATTTGTATATTTCTAAAAATAAGCTAAATTTATTATTTTCGTTCTTATAATATTTTCATATCAATTTAATTCTAAAAATTATTTAATTGTATCATTTTATATCCTTCTCTTAATTTCAAACCCTAAATTATAAGCCCTAAGTTAGTGTTTATAGGTAATAGGGCTATGATTTAAGGTTTAAGGATTATAATTTAGGGTTTTAAAGTTAGAGGTAGGGTTATAGAATGATACAATTGAGTTAAATTGATTTAAAAATACGATAGGGATAAAATTGATAAATTAAATTTACTACAGGAGTAAAAGTTACCCCTTTGCCTTGTAATTTTATCAAAAATAATTACAATACACCAACCTATCACATATTTTCTACTTTAATTTAATCTTTAAAAAATTAACGGTAAAATTGAAGTAAATTTTTTTATTTTTCAAGTTGTTTCTTATCTCCTCATTAATAATTTTATATTTTATAATGATTTTATTTAAACCAATTAGATAGTAACTCATGTTATTACCTTATTAATTAAATACAATAAAGGAAATATATATTACTGGTATTAAATGGGAACAAAATTGTGTTAAAATGGCACTAGACTATATTAAATATGCAATAACTAGGAAATTAGTCCAATTCATAACACCAAATCAAATCATATAATTATCATATTCAATATCAAACTCATATTTATTCTAACTGTAAAATCAAGTTAAAATTAACTTTTAATTAATTTAAGAATTAAAAATATTAGAATTCGTCGAGTAATTTCAGTGGCAAAAATGAAGAATAAAAATGAAAGTTATTCTTCTTAGAATTTATGAGTTTTTAATATTTACGTTTATAAAATGTGTGTGCATTATTAACAAGTTAAAAAAATTCTAAACATACACTGTGTTTTAATAATTTCGTATTGTTAAAAATATATAAAACATTTATTTTTATAAAATTAATATTACATCACTCAAAACAAATGCAGTAATCAATATTCCAGCTTGCCACAATCAAAATCAGCCTTTCTTAACAGCATCCCAGGCAAGAATTTAGAAAAGAATTTATCTCTCAAGAAGTTCATAATCATCCCACTACTTTGCTGTATAAACCCTACCATATAAGCCGTGGTAATGAGATCAAAGCTTCTCCATCTCCTCTTCTGAGCGAAATTCTTCAACCCCATTTCAATCCTCTTACATTCTTCTCCTTCGTTGATTCCTTCCCCGGATGCTGGTTTCGATAACGCTTCGGCAAGACACCTTGCTAGAACAACGCCGTCTTCCAAGGCGGAACATCCGCCTTGTCCGAGGTCCGGAGTCATGGGATGGAGGGCGTCGCCGGCTACACAAACATTGCCTTTGCTGATATTTCCCCATAGAAGCTCCAATGGTCTCCTGTATCTTAATGGGGATGATGAGATGCTGTCTAGCTCGGTTTTTTGTACGACGGATTTCATGTCGTCGGGTGTGTCTTCGAGCTTGTTCAGTACGAATTGCTTCAGCTTAACTGGATCGTCTTCCAGCTCTTCTTCTGCAAAGTATGACGGTTAGGAAATATGGTATTCAATTTAAGTCACTTGACAATGAAGAATGGAGTTTTTAGGTACCTTTGGTGGATGGAGTCCAAGTCAAAAACCAATAAGCTTCCTCATCATTACATGGGAGGAACCCTGATCGAACACCTTTGCCGACAAACTGCCGGAATTTCGGTCCAAAACCATGGCCACCTTCGAACTTGGTTGTACCCCTAATTGCTGATCGACCTGTGAACACAGGCTTCTCTAAACCAAGCCATTTTGCCACCACTGAGTTCACTCCATCACACCCAATCAGCACCTGTTGTCATTCACAATCAACATTATAGCACTCTTCAACAATAAATTCTGAGTTTGTTCACATAAATTAATTCGATTCTACCTTGGTTTTGAGTATAGTTCCATCTGCAAGATGCACTCTTTTAAAGAACCCAGATCCTTCTATGGAAACCACTTTAGAGGAGAACCTGATGGTACCTTCAGGGAGTTCATTTGCCAAAGCTTCCAACAACAATTTCCTTTGAAGACAACGAACTTCATGACCCTTAAACGATATCTCTGATGCTGGTTGGACTAAAAATGTAGAGGCAACAAGGATGCTGCAAATTTATAAGCAAATTTAGCTTGGGGACTTCCAAATGAAGGTTCAATGTAGTTAAAATACAGTACCTTGGTGTAAGGTCGTGTCGTTGGCGGAGCGATTCGCCGATGCCGATAGCATCCAAGGCTCTCCAGGCATTGTTCCACGTCGTGAATGCGAAGCCTGTGATCCTTAATCTGTGTGATGATTCCAATACTAAACTTCGAATTCCAAGCCTGCAAATGATTTGGAATCAGTTAGTACTTAGCAACATGTTATCGTATCAGGAGATTGTCGGTGCCGGTCGATGTAATGTACATGCCTGTGGAGTCCCAAGGATGTTGTTAGACCGGAAATTCCAGCCCCCACGACCACTATGTCTTCGACGGTTTCCATCGACTCGCTTTCGGTTTATAAACGCTATACACAAGGATTTAAAGTTCACACCTTTCAATATAAGATCTCACGCTCGTTTTTAGTGTCGCAGAAATGGTGAACAAGAAGAGGGTGTTTTATAGGGAAAGATTGAGAGGCGGTTTCGTTTCCTTTTTAATCATATTTTAATGTTAGTGATGGGTCAATTATGGAGTAAACAAAGTGTTCAGAAGTCATCTCACATGACTTGGTTCAACATGGAGCAGGTGTGGCGGCCAAGAAAGAGCAAAACAGTAAGCAATTGTGTTTGCTTGTGGGTACACGAAGTATCGAGGGACGTCGACAAATTCATTTTAGTTTTGACCATAAAGAAAATCAACGATTCTCTTTGACGAGAGTCAACATTTCCAGCATCCGATTTTGACCACCAAATAATTTAGCATTATTGTGATTTTTTTTAGGGATTTATTCGGTTCGGTTCGGTTTTTCATCAAAAATTGAACAGAATCGAAATAGACGGTTTTTCAAAATTTAAACCGAAACAGAATGGTTAAAAAACAGAATTATGTGAGACTGATTTTTTCGGTTCGATTCGATAATACGGTTTTTTCGGTTCGGTTCGTCGTTTTTCAATGAAAAACTCACTTGAAACTATAAATTCAAAAAAATTTGTCTATTCGGTTCAATATGAAACAAGTGGGTTCCATATGGAAAATTCAAACCGAACCGAATCAATATAATTGATTCTTTAATTCAACCTGAAACTGAACCGTTTAAAGGTAAACCCGAACCGAACCGAACTATTTTACTCATATCGTGTCGTTTTTCTATTTTCTTGATTTCGTTGCTCTGCCCTATTTTTTTTGCCCATATATTATTTATCCACCTGAAAAACCATTTTTCAATGATACTTAGTTGCACGAAAAAAAGTATGTTGGTGATTAAAAAAGATAATTGTTGTTATTTCTTTAAGATTCGGATTTGAGTATCGAAATTAAAGGTATAAGTGTTTAATATCAAAAAATTAAAAGTTATTCAAATAAATACCGTCTTTTATTTATTTCAGATTAATCAGAAAAAATAAGATGAATATTTAATCTTATCTAGTTAAATTAAAAATAATAAAAACAGGATAATAGCTGAGAACATGGGCGTTGAAGAGCAAATGTTTTCAATGAAGACAGGATAGAGCTGTTCTGTCATGTTCAAACAGTCAAACTCCGAAATATCAGCATCTTCATGTCCCAGAGACAATATTGGCATTATAAAACGGCATGATATTTACAAACCCGTAAATTAAATTAATCAAAATGTAAATGTATAGATTAATTTTGCGAGTTTTTTTTAATAAGTTAAAGTGATTACAAATTATTATTTATTTTAAATATTTTCGATCATTTAATAATGAACGCTCAATTACCTTGATATAATTGTAGGTGCTCGTACTCGTGACCTCTAAGAACAACAACGATTGCTTTAATTATTGAAGTGAGTTGGTTTGTGTTAATTTTACAAGTTAAATAAATTGAAAGGGTGATTATGGAATTTGAATGTCAGTTAATACTATCGGGTATTGTCTGTGGAACGAGTGACTCGTAATTTCACATAAGGATGAGTATTATATTGAGTTAAATTGAACAAAAAAAAATTTGAGTTAATTAAATTAATGAGTTTTGTTAGCTTAAAAATAAAAATTGAAATTGTTCGACTTTTTATTTAAATTTCGTTATAAATATTATGGTGCTAATGGATAACAATTTAAATGGGTTTTTATAACTATATATGACATATTTCTTAAAAAAATTATATATATATATATAAAGTTGAGGTCTCGACTCAAACTTAAAAATCAATCACTAATTAATAAAAGGACAAAGCACATGAATGGTTTCCAAAGTTTGAGTAATTTTTTGCTATCCCTACTGAACTTTTAAAAGCTACATATTGGTCACTAACATTATCGATTTTGATAATTTGTAATAAAATAGTCACTCCACTGTTATACATGTTAAGTTGATGACATGAAAACGTTAATAAAAATATAAATATTTAATTTTACTCTTAAACTATTGTTAAAACATAAAATAGGTCCTTAAATAATAATTTTATATCTAATTTATCCCAAAAAAAATTAATTTTCAATTTTTTCAAATACAAGGTTAGCTAAAAACGCATGATCACCATTCAAGGTTAGCTATGTCTGAAAGACAAGATTGAAGCATAAAAGCATCCATGTAGCTCTATGCAACAATGAATTAGTTTACAGTTTCAATTCATCTGGTATGAGTATGACGCAATTTTCCAATACCCACCAAGTTTCTAAAATTTCCAAGCCTCAATTTGACACAGCCAAGCTATAAATTATGCGCCACAAACTGTTACCTAACGAAAACCCTCATTCCAACATCAGGAAAGGAGAAACCTTGAGACAAGGACAGGAACACAACTCGCAGGCAAGACAACAAGCTGGGCACCCTTTTGAGCAGCCTCCACGATGTTCTTACGAGCATTCTTTACGTTCCTCGCTTAATCAGGTGTCACAAGAATGGTCACTAAAGTTGAGACTGCGTTTGGATTTGGGAGCTGATGAGTTGGGAGAGGTGGGGAGGGGAGGAATACGTAGTGGTGGGTATTTGAAAAAATTGAAAAATTAGATTTTTTTTTGGATAAATTAGATATAAAATTATTGTCTAAGGATATATTTGATGTTTTAGTAGTATTTTAGGCGTAAAATTAAATAATAAACTTTTTTTAACGTTGTCTCATCATCAATTAAACGGGATAACGATAGAGTGACCATTTTGTTACAAATAGATAATATTAATGACTAATTTGTAACTTTTGAAAGTATTGTGAGGAAAATGTAAAATTACTCAAACTTTAATGACCATTCTTGTAGTTTTCCCTTAATAAAAATTCGAGTTATTTAAGTTATATTTTATATCTCAAATATTATTTGAATATTTTTTAATTAAATCAAATCAAATTTATAAAATTACAAATAGAATAAAATTGAGTTAAATTTTTAACATCGAGTCTAATTAAAAATTTTGATTTTTTTATGTCAAATCAAATTTTATTTACTCCAAAATTTTCAATTGTTCGGGTGCTTCGTTATAGAATCTAATATTTCCTGTAAGTATTAAATTACGAGAATATGAGATTACTTAATACATTTTTAATAGTGTTATATTATTATAATGTAATATTATAGTTTTGATCCACGAGATATAATTATCTATAAATATATTTTATGAAAATATTTTTGTGATATATTTTTTAAATAATATTTACTTTTAATATTAAATTAGAAAATATTGGTATAAATTTTATAATTTTTTCATAAAATTATATTTAAACTTTATGTTTAAAATATTATTAAGATAGTTAATATATTAAATAAGATTTTAAAAAAGAAAAGCACAAATTGTTTATATTTTTTATCAGAATAGTCCCATTTTGAAAAGTAATTACCGATATAGACTCGTTTTATCGTTATTTCCCAAAATGTTCAGTTATCTTGTGAACTCACAACTCAACAAAGGTGAGTTCTTCAATACGGTATCCAAGACTATGATTTTGTTATCACTAAAAGTCGAAATTTCTGCACGAACTAAACGACATCAATAATAAAAAGATTATTTTTTTTTAGTATTTTGGGTTTGAATATAAAAAATGTCATAGTTTAATATTAAACGGTTAAAAATTATCTTTAAAGAAATATTATCTTATATTTATTTTAGATTAATAAAAAATGGTTACTGTTGCTAGAAAATGATGTGATTAGGGTTGTTCATTCGGTGGCCGAACCGACCGAACTACCATTAACCGAATTAATCGAACTTTTTTTCTTTAACCGTTAACCGAACCGAACTTTTTTTCGAAAATATGAACCGAACCGAATAAAGTTCGATTAATTTTTAAATTAACCGAATTTTTTTAGAATTTCGAATTTATATAAAAATTAAATATTTTTTAATTCAAAAAACAGTTTATAATTAATTTAAATAATATATAATTATAAAATAAAAATTTTATATAAATTTTTTAATTAATATTGATTTAAGTTTAAAAGTTATTAAATCTTAAATTATTAATTGAGTTTTAAATAGTTTGAGCTTAGCTCATATGTTATATATAATATATTTAATATTTTTTTAATTCAAAAAAACAGTTTACAATTAATTTAAATAATATATAATTATAAAATAAAAATTTTATATAATTTTTTTAATTAATTAATATTGATTTAAGTTTAAAAGTTATGGAATCTTAAATTATTAATTGGGTTTTAAATGGTTTGGGTTAAGTCCATATGTTATATATAATAAATTTAATATTTAAAATTTAATTTCGGTTAATTAATCGATTTCGAAACGAATTAACCGTTAACCGAATTCTAAAAATTTTCTTAACCGTTAATCGACCGAACTAATTCGGTGATTGATCGAATTAACCGAACTAATTTGATTCGGTCGATTAACCGAATTAGTTCAAAAATTTGAACATCCCTAGACGTGATAGTGGAACGCATATGAAGCCCAATTGCACATTCGTATTGTCACAACATTAGGCTGCTAACGTTGGGCTGAACTCGCAGTGTTAATTGAGTTTGGACCGCTTCATTACTTCAATTGAGATAATGAAAAATTATTTCATTTTCAGTTGGACTTTTATTTTTTGGCATTTTTACCGAAATATCACCCTCATACCTATTAATTCTCCTAATATTACTAGTTTAGTATCTTTTCTGACAAAACACGGATCACCATGCGCACCTTCACGGGGTTCTGTCCGAGCTGGCGCCACGTAAGAGAAGACGTCGATCGTCATTTGTGCTTTCGATGAATCTCTAACATATACAGAAGGCACGGATCACGAGACTCGCCTTTCATGGGAAATGTTAACATGACGCCACGTGAGAATACATGTTTCAAGGGGCACACCTTCCAAAGTCCACATCATCCCTCAAAACATTTTAAAAATATATGTTTTGAAAAAAATATAAAAAATAAAACTATAGGGACTAATATCGT